TTTGTCTCTTTTTTCCTCTCCTGTCCCTCAGACATAAAGGCTGCTCCTGCACTGACGGACTCACTGCTGCCCAACACACTGCCCTCCATCACCAACCTGTCCAGCTGTATGAAGGATGGAAAAGAGGAGGATGGGGGTGAGTTTGTCACTCTGCGGCCACATGTGACAGTTTAAGAGCCTTCGTATTGCTGTGTTCTGCTATGAAGCACACGAAGATGTAATTAGCTTCTAGCGGTTGTGTGTGTTTGTGTGTGTGTGTGTGCAGGGATCGAGCTGGACAAACTGGATACAGAGATGATCAAGCTCTTGGCCTATCAGAGGATCCAGCAGCTCTTTGCTCCCAAAGTGCCCAGCACTCAACCTCCCCCCACCACCAGCACTACCCCAAAAACCTCAGCACCCCACCCAAACAGTAAGATACCTTTGCACTACAGTTTAGTCTGTTTACTTCTCAAGAAGTCAGTTTTTCTGCTGTTTGATTGCTGTTTTGTTCTAATTATTAAAACCTACACTCTCCTCCTTCCAGGTCAGAAAAAGGTGCAAGCCAGAGCGGTCTTTTACCCTCTGACAGGAAGAGGAGCAGCTGTCAGCATGTGCTATAGGACGTTACACATAGGATCAGGTAGGACATTCAGTCGCTGTGACTTTGACCCTGCTGCATTCTGTGCCCTGGCTCTGAGCCACTCTTAGGTTTCACCTTTGATGGGGAAAGGTTCACATACTGACGTACTTTATAAAAATCATACCACTTCACCAAACTCCAGTCAATCATGTTTGATTTAGGTTAGACTCCTGCCTTATGACTAAATTTTAGTAAGACAGAAGTGGAACATGGGTAGGACGCCATTATACCTGCTGTGTGGTGCCTGGCAAATGTCACCGTATAGCAAAATTGATGTTACATGTTGTAAGCTGTCATCTCTGCTGGTCATCCATCCATCCATTTTCTTCCACTTATCCGGGGCTGGGTTGCGAAGGCAGCAGCCCAAGCAGAGAAGCCCAGACCTCCCTCTCCCCAGCCACTTCCTCCAGCTTGTCTGGGGGAATACCAAGGCGTTCCGAGGCCACCTGAGGGATATAATCTCGGTCTGCCCCGGGGCCTCCTTCCGGTGGCACATGCCTGGAACACCTCACCTAGGTGGCGCCCAGGAGGCATCCTTGTCAGATGCCCTAACCATCTCAACTGACTCCTTTCGATGTGGAGGAGCAGCGGCTCTACTCTGAGCCCCTCCCAAATGGCCAAACTTCTCACCCTATCTCAAGTGAGAGGTCAGCCACCCTTCGGGGGAAGCCCATTTCCGCCGCTTGTATCCGCAATCTCTTTTACACTCAGCTCTCTTCGCCACAACAGACCCATATAGC